TCCATTTGCGCGCGCGTCATTGCTGAGCACTTGGCGCCATTCTTGGGCGACTTTGAGATCGAGTTCGACGTGGATTTCTTCGCTGGGCGAGCTGAGTGGCTGGACCCTTGAGCTGGCTCCTGGGCGCCGACGGAGACGCCGCGAAGGAGGCCCCGAAGCTGAAGAAGCAGAAGCAGGACATTGGCGAGGAGGTAGCGGCCAAGAGGCTGGCGCATCAGTTGGGAGACGCGCGCGCGGACTCTGGAGCACCAGAACGCAGAGAACATCGCGAATATCTACAACGCGAAGATGAAAGAGGCAGGGGGCGGCCACAAGGTCGGCCCGCCAGAACTACAAGCACACGGCGGAATTCTGCCCGCCAGCGAGAATTTGTCGCGAGGCGGATGTCGACGATGCAGCGCGCCGATCCCGAGGAAGTAACCTGCGACGCGGGCACGGCGCGGATCGCGCTCTCGATGCGCGGCCGCATTCTTCCTGGTCGCCCATAACGCCGAGGCCGCGAAGCATTTGGACAAGATGCAGAGCGACGCTTGGGGCGGAGTGGCCACGGACGACACTTGCGAGGGAGTTTTGCAGAGGTCCCCCCACGAGCTGCCGGCGATCGAGACCGTGCTGTCCCAGTGTTGTCCCCCCAGAAGGCCGTGGTGGTGCAGACAGTGCCGTCCCAGATGCTGCGCGGCTGGGGCGTTTCGGCGAGGGCGGGGCGCGCCGCGGGGTTCGCTGGCCCGCGCGGCGCGAGGCATGGGTCGAGCGGGCAGAGCGGGTAGAGGTATGGGGTTGAAGTAGGTGGGCGAATCGAGGTGGTAGGGTTTCGGGGTAAGCGGCCCTGGCCCGTTCGGGTTCGCGGCGTTTTTTTCGCGCCGTCCTCCTCGGCCTCCGCGTTTGGCGCCGGGCCCAAAACGAGGGGGGGGGGATTTCGTGCAAAAGGGCAGTTTTGCACGGAATTTCCCCCCTCCCTTGCTTGGGGTTTGTGGTCGGGCTGTTGTGGGCTCCTCGCATTCCTCCCTCGCCCTTTTCTTTCGCCGCGGGCGTCCGTCGCCGTCGCTTCTCGCGGTTCGCGGTCCGATGGTGCCGTGTCTTGAGTCTGTGCATGTGCCGACTGTAGGCGTGCCCCGAGCTGCTGTGGCCGCGAGGATCTGGCCGCTCGAAAGGGGGATCGAATCAAGAGAAGGAGGAGGAGGGGGAGGACGAGGAGGAGGGGGGGGAGGAGGAGGAGGAGGAGGAGGAGAAGGAGGACGAGGACGAGGACGATGAGGAGATGCGGCGGACCCGTGCGGCGGGCATCGGAGGTGCCGCGGCCCTCCGAGGATTCGCTGGGCGCCCTCGTCCCGCCTCGTGCGCGGGCATGCGCCCAGCGACGGCGGCGGGCGGCGGGGCCTGGCGGCGACGCTTGGCGGCGACGCCCCTGCGCGTTCGGCGGCATTTCCACGGCGGCGGCGGCCGGCGGCGGCGCCCTGACGGTGGCGGCTACGCTCCGACAGCAGCGGCGGCGAAGGCGGCGGCCGCTCGGGTGTTGCCGCAAGTGCCTCCAGCTCTTCGCGCCATTATGAGGCCGTTTTGGGGGCCCTCTGGGCCCCGTGAGGGGTGCTCATGGAGGCCTTCTGGCGGCCAACCCGGGAAAATCCCGGGAATACTTTTTGGGCCAGTGGCACCATGGCGCCATCCGAACCGCCCCCGCCGGCCGCCAGTGCCAGCCGCCCGCCGGCTGCGGCGTGGGTGGCGGGGCGGCGCGCGGCCGACAGGGAGGCCTTTCGGCGCGTCCGCGGAGCCAGCTGGGCGGGGCGCCGGGGAGCTGCGAATGCTGCTTGGGCGGCAGGCGTTGCGAGATGGGCGGATGAAGCAAAGGTGGACCTTTTGAAATCTCCTCCAGAGGCCCCTTGGGCACCCCATTCATCGCCCTCCCACGAAGCAGCGCCCAACGGGCGGCGCGCGCGGCGGCTCAGCGACTTGAAGGTCGCGTTGTGGGGGAAGAGGAGGAGATCCTCCTGGGCGGCTTGTCGGCGCGTCCGCGGAAACAGCTGGGCAGGAAGTGCGAGTGTTTCATAGGCAGCAGAGGTGGCGGCTCAGCGATTTGAAGTTCGCGTTGGTGGAGAAAAACAAAAGGCTCATCCTCCTCCTCTTCCTCCCGTCCTTCCTGCGACCTCGTTCTTTCCTCCTGCCTCATCGTCCTCCCTTCTCCCACATCATGAAGTACTCGATGGGCATAGCGCGTGGCGATCGCCTGCCCCGCGTCGTGGAGGTTTCTCGGAGGCCCCCGGGTTTTTTTTGGAGTTTGGATTTTGTATGGGCCCTTCGGGTAGTAATCACGAACTTCCTCTTCCAAGCATCTCTGGGCGCCTGTGTTGGGGGGTGTGGTGCGGTTTGACGAGGCATTCGGGCAGCCCTGGTGCAGGTATTTGGCCGCAGGGGTTCATGTTGGAACCGTCTGCGCTCGTCGCGTTGGGCCCGCTTGACATTTTCAAGCGATTTGGGTGTTTCACACAGCGATGTTTCACACAGTCGGAAAAGGGGTTGTCGCTCGTGACATCGTCGACTGCCCCGCGTGGTTGGTTGTGGCAGGTTCAGATGAAGGTGGCCGGCCACGCGCCGAAACGTTGCGCGCGAACAAGACCAAGGGGCCCGAGAAAGTGGGCAGACCAAGTTTTAGACAAAACGGTTCGCGACAAGGGCTTCAAAGCGGCTGCGCATTAGGTTTCGCATCTTGCAATGGTGTGGATATGTTTGGCAAGCTACTGGGTCTCAGCCGAAAGTTTCGCCAGAACTCGACTTCGGCGCGGCCGCTCAGCGCCCACGCGACGTTATCGTTTTGAAATCAGCCTTCTCCGGCGTTTGGCCCAGCAGATAGAAAAGAAGCAATGCCCGCCTCAGATAGAGTGCTGCGCAGGCGCGTTCTGACTTTATCGCCGCGTCCGTGTGCGAATCCTGCAGCTTGGACCCGACGGCCCTGGAGTCCAGGATGGGCTCTCGAGCGGGGTGGCCCACGAACGTCTAACAGCAGGGGTCAGGTGGCTCACGCCCCCGGGCCGCGGTCGGCATCCGTCAAAAGACGAGCGGGGCGCCCGGCTGTTGGCCGCCAGTGCATCAGCCAGGAGGCCGCGATGTCACGAAAGAGTGGACATTTTTTCTTCCTTTTCCCGACAGCCAAGAAGGCGCGCTTTTGGTTGACGCAAGCAGTTCAGCTGTCTGCGCTCATCGCGCTGAGCCCGCTTGACATTTTTAAACGATGATTCGCACAGTCCGTGACAGAGGCGTCTTTCGTGACCGCGTTGGCCTGCCCCGTGCGGTTGGTTGTGGCAGGTCCCGATGAGGATGGCCGGCCACACGCCGAACGCTGCAGACAAACAGGACCACGGGTGCCCGATTGCAGATTCAGTCATAGACCAAATGGTGCGCGACAGCGGCTTCAACGCAGGTGCACATTAGGTTTTGCATATTGAAATGATGTGGGTATGTTTGGCAAACGATTGCACCCCGCCGTACACCCGTACACCATATGAGACACACGCGACGCACAGACGCACGTCACATGCATAAGAAGCACGCGTGCGGAAAGTTATGGCATCACTCGCCGCCGTACAGGACGCACGTAATATTCGCGTCACCTTCCCGCAATTGCGCGCGCATCACGACAGCGTGTACATTCACGCGATGCATGAGCAACGCAATTCGTGAGACACAACATCAAACCACTCAATTACTGATGGTGCGCAGTAACTTTTGGACCGGCATACATTCATATCTCTTACCATCTAGGCAACGCGGAATACAGGTCAACACATGCACAATGAGTGCGCGCACGAATCATACCATCATTGGTCAAACATTCGCATCACATGGATCGACCACGCTCTTCGCGAACTGATTGCATTGAACTGAACTGAACTGATATGACTGGTCGGGCCCGTCGCGCGACGGTTTTATTCTCGGCCGCCAGGCGCGCAACCAATGGCGCAACCGATAGGAGACGGCTTTTTCTCGGCCGTTGACGGTTCTATTTTCGGCCGCCGAGGGCGCAACCTATGGTTCAACCGGTAAGAATCGGTTTTATGTTCGGCCGCCGAAGGCGCATTTTTTGGCGCTTCGACAACAAACGATATTATTTTCAGCCGCGGAGGGCTCACCCTATGACGCAGCCGATCGGAGACGGTTTCATTCTCAGCTGCAGAGGGCGCAGCATATGGCGCAACCGATAAGAAACCGAGCTTGGGCAGGCGGAGCATGAGGATAACGAGGAGGATGCGGAGGACGACGACGACGATCAGGACGGGGAGTACGGAGGACGGGGAAGAATACGGGTACGAGGACGAATTGTGAGCATTCGAGTGCGTGCGGTGCTACCCCTGGTTTACGCTCGCCGTTTGGGCTGCTGGTGGAGCCCAAGCGGCGAGCTGTTCTGTGATTGACAACCGTGATACATGCGCGAACAACCGAATGAAACAACCGACATGCATTGTAAGCGTTTCCAACGTACACATTTCAATCACACAAATACCATGTAAGCTAATAGCGTCAAGCACCAGTATACACACGCACGCGATCATGTGCACTGTACTGGCGCACGCCAGACAGATGTCGAAAACATTATCAGCAGCTCCCCGCTACAGGTCGCTCGAATGATCATCGGTTCATCCCGTGCAGTTGTTTACCAGATTTGGTGCTCGAGACGGGCTTCGGGGAAGCCAAGCCCATAAAAACACCTGGCGTCACGATTTGACCAGTGATCAAAGCATGTTCGGGTTGATTGTCATGTTTGTGGTGGTGGTGGCGACCGGGGGCGAGTTCAAGTCCACCATCGCCATGTTCGTCGCTTAACATATCCATCTTGTGTTTCCCGTTTTCCATGCAGAGGTGAATGCTTTCGATTTGGTCATTGAGCATTTGGTCGCATTGCTCGTCAGTGTCAGAACGCACTAGCGACAGAGATGTGAGGTGTAGATGTCCATCATGTCAACCTACGTCGGGGCGCAAAACGAAATACATACTGTTTGAGATTTGTTGAGGTGCACCCATCATGAACTACATCCCTCGCTTCCTGCTTGCGGGGATCCTTATGAACCTCGGCCTCCTCATGACCCAGGATTGCTACGCCGGGGAGTCCTGGCCAGCAGCAAACTGGCCAACATCTCGTGGGGTAACTTTTAGTCGGGTGATTTTTTGCTTCAGGAGGAGGAGGAAGACCCATGCCCGTGGCGAAACGAAACAGTCGCGCCATAGGTTTTGTTTCGACACCTTGCGGCCGTCTCACGGGCCCAGGTTTGCCGAAACCCTTCAGGACCAAGGGTTTTTTCCCATGAAAGGGTGACTCGAAAACATTGAGTCGTTGGAGGTCTGGGTCTGAGGAAGTCGTTTGCCCCTCCGCTGCCACTGCCCACATCTCACCCTCCTCTTCCCTTTTCCTCGGTGACCAGACACAAAACAGAAAGCGAGGCGACAGTATCCTTCAACTGGGCATGCGTCAGGGATCTTGCGTGGCCGGTCAGACCTTCCAAGAACATTGGACTTCTCCACCAAATTCCTGCCCAAAAAGAGAACGAGGACCAGGACGAGGAGGAGAGGGGGTATGCCGAGAAGTCCCGTAGCCCTGTTCAGTCGTGCAGGTTTCGCAGCCATACGTTTTGCCGTGGCATGGTGTGCATGGTTGCCTTGCTCTCTTAGTTTGTTGCTTCACGCCTCGATTGTACGTTATATGTTTGTTTGCGAACCGATGTTTGTTTGTGATGATTGTTGCGCTGATATGGCTTTTTACGCTCTGATGGTATGTGTTCTCTCTTTTGGCTTCCTCTCTCTCGCTCTCTTTCTCTCTCGCGCACGATCTGTGCTGAAGACTGGCGACGGTGTCGGCTATATGCGATTTGCTGGAATGACAAGGTAGCGTGCTCAGTGTCATCATCTTTCATTGGACGCATGCTCTGATCTTGGAGTCGGCGGAGTTGCAGTGCTGGAACATTGTCAGTCATGTTGTGCTGTTTGAGAGATATGCAGATGAGGCAAGATGCCAGCAACGAAGCCAAAGTCTGACGCCACGGGGTAACAACAAGAGGGGCCGACGATCTTCAACATAATTCTACCCTGCCTGATACGACCAGCACGGGTGGCCAGAAGCTGAGCGTGCGTCGGCGAGCACGAAAACGCCAACGATTTTTGTAGAACGACTCTTTGCCGAAGTTTGTTGTGTAGCACCGGCTGCACGCACACGGCGACGAGGATCAATTAGAAGACGTCATTAGATGTAGAAATACACGCCTCTCCAGAAATAATGTTTTTTGTTCGGCTTGGCGAAGACATCACACCAAGTGGTGCCGATGTTGCGACTGTTCGCGGAAGGAGACCGATGTTACGGTGACCGCGGGAAGTGTTCTAGAGGAATGTTGGATGCGGCACCCCTGAGCGCAAGCGCGAAGATCCGTAAGTATCCTCCTCCCAGGAGGTCATGGCCAAGCCAGCTTGGGCAGATCAGTCCCGACGGACGTCGAACCTACTAGGACAACTCACGATCAAGTAGTGGCGAAGCGTCCTGGCTCGCCTACAGGTCTACCAAATAATGTTCTAAGAACCTTTTGTGGTCTGCACGAAATGGTCTCAGAACATTTCTGGCCGGGGCTGTCTTATCTTAACACAGCGGGTTTCTGTTCTAAGAACATGGTTTTGGCTTTTGGAGCACTTCGGGGCTCCGAGAGCATCTCGTGGCAGGCCTGCAGGCATGGCGGGACGGCCGGTCCCCGCTCCAGCGAGGGCAGCTCACGAGACGCGGCGCGAATGCCGGGGCGGGCGAAAGGGGGGGATTGGGAAAGGGGGGGTTACGAAATTTGCTGCATGCAGCTGGTTTCGGCTTCACCGAGGGGCCCATTCCTCGATACATGGCCGCCTCCGGCGCCGGGAGGCGCCGGGAAAATCAGCTACGTGAGCTGATTCTCAAACCCCCCCTTTGCTATCCCCCCCTCCCCCCCGACCCGAAGGGAGCCGACGGCGAGGCCCGCGGCGCTGCCACGGGCCCGGCGCGGCGGGGCCCGGGTCCCGCGCCGCGCGCGGGAGTCCCGTGCGCGCCGTCCCCGTAGTTAGCCAGGGCGCCCCTCTCGGGGCCGAGCTCGGACTCCCCGGGGGCACATTGCAGCGGGAGGGCCCCGCGAGCGGCCCCGCGAGCTCGGCCCGAGGGGGAGGAGGAGGAGGAGGAGGAGGAGGAGGAGGAGGAGGAGGAGGAGGAGGAGGAGGAGGAGAAGGGAGGGGGTATGAGAGAGGAGGGAGGAGAGAGGAGGAGGAGGGAGGAGGAGGAGGAGGAGGAGGAGGAGGGGGAGAGGAGGAGGGAGGGGGAGGAGGAGGAGGAGGAGGAGGAGGGGAAGGCGTGGCCCCGCGGCGCCAGGTCGGTTGCGTCTCAGTGCGCTGGGCGAGAGCCGGGCACTGTCTTTTTGGGTGGGGGGCGAAGGGTGGAATCCGAAAGGCCGCTCCGAGGGATTCTCGGGGCTCGAGTCTGCAAAAGGGGAATCACAAGGCGGACTGACTCTTGAGGTCCGAAGCCCATATGGAATTCACCCTGACCTCTCCACCCTAAGAATATGCTCAGTAAATCAGAGCGTGAGTTACCTACCCCGCTTTCGCTCCCAGGCAGAACCAAGTCGTTCCGCGCGCCTCCTCGCCGAGCGGCCTGACCAGTACAGGCCGTGGTTTGGCATCGCTTGGTATCTCTTGGAAGCGAGGGTGGTCAAAAGCGAGGTAGGTTTGTTCTGCCCCCAGTAAAAAGGGCACCTCGATGCGAATGCCGCGGCAACCAGGGGCGTCGCGCTCGAGGATCGTGCTGGCAGCGCTGGGCGCCAGCCGGCCGGCGGGGGCCGCGGCGCGCGCGCTCCGCTCCGCTCGCGGGCGCGCGGCACGCGGCCGCGGGTGCGGCTGCACGCCCCGTGGGTGCTCTGGCAGCTGCTGTGCAGGCTGTGGAATGGTCAGGAGGGAAAGAAACACACAGACACAATTGATCGGCGATTCCCCAGAAAGTATGGGAACATATGGGAAGTTGGGGGGAAGACAGAAGCCTAGAAAGTATGGGAAAATAGGGGGAATCGAGTTATTTGTGTTTATTTATTTGTGTGTACCAGTTCCCCCTCTGCTTTGCAGGCTGTGTAACGGGCCGCGCTGCGGGCGAACCGAGAGGTCTGTTCTTGAGATTCCGGGAGCCGCTCGTAGGACGAGGGTGGGCCCTTGCGAATCGAGAGGGGGGGTCGTAAGATATATATATATTATATATATATGTATACATATATATATATATATATATATATATATATATATATATGGCAGGTTGTTCCTGCGATGCTGTTGTTTCGAGGCGCAGCGTGAGCCGTTTTCGCGTGATGCGAGAGAGGTTGCTCGTCTGACACGGCGGGTCGTTCTTGCGACAGCTGTTCTTAGGACAGTTTTGGTGATATGTGGGGGCTCCCCTGTGGCAGCGATGTCGGCCTGCCTGTGCCAGGGCCAGGGTGTTGGGCTCCGCTGCGCGAGGGCTTTGGGCCCCCCGGGTGCGAGGGTTTTGGCCTCCATGTGCGAGGGTGTTGGCTTTCCTGTGCGAGGCCGTCCTGTGCAAGGGTTTGGGCCCCGCTGTGCGAGGGGTTAGGCCTCCCCCCTGTGCGAGGGTTTGGGCCCCCCTGAAAGGAAGCAAGCAACCAACCAAGTCCGGCCAGGCGAGCGGAGTCCAGACGGTCAATGGAGAGAGCCACGCCGCCCTGGACGTTCGTCGGGCCAGCGATGACAAAGGTGGAGATGTCCGTGCGGTCCTTGCTGCTGCCGTTTCTAGAATAAACCCGAGTCTGGCAGGCGTAGTCCGTTGCTCATTGATTTTGCGTGTTGTTCGCTGTCCGTGGGGAAAGCTGTCGGAATCGCGCGGCGGTCACGGTCGGATCAGGGAGGCGCAGAGAATTTGTTTCGCTCCAATGCCGAAAGATCGAAGCTCAACCGCGCGGCGAGATTGTGTGCTCCGTCGTGGTCGGTGGCCTGTTGTTGGACCCTGTCGGGTTGCATCCGGCAGCCGAGTGCTTGTTGAGCCCGCCAGAAGCGGGGGCCACCGCGTGCCACCCTCCAGGGGCAGACGATCACGCCGGTTTCGCAACCAGCGGGCATTCGGTGGTCGCGGCTGCGATCTGGCCCAAGAGGGGGGCCAGCTGAAAGGGTGTGGTGCAATAGATTTGGTGCAATAGTTTCGTGGGGTTGCAATAGGTTTGGGATGTGCAATACATTCGGGTGCGCAGATGTCTTGCTGGATTTTCGCGTGCAATGCGTTAGCTGCAACACAATGCACTACAATCCTCTGGCGCAGTACATTTGCAACACGATTGTCGCACCTCTATTACACCACCTCCTTTCAGCTGGACCCCCCTTTGGGTCAACCAAAGTCGACGAGGGTCGGCACACGTCGTTGCCATTCTTCTGTGGTGGCCGTCTTGGCGTCTTTCTGGGGGGTCGGGCGATCTTGGCAGCTCCTGTGGGCTAGCTGCTGGGGTCTGTGGGGCGCGAAAGGCGTGAGGGGAACCCCAAATGGGGGCTCGATTCGGCCATTTTGGGGCCAGCTGGGCGCCAAGAATGTCTAGGAGTCCATGCGGCACGGAGTGCGTGAGGGGTGTGACAGCTCGAGGTTATGTAAAATGTTTGTTCGAGGTCCGCCGGGCGCCTCAGTGGGTTAATGAGGCGTCTTGAGGGCAGACAAATGTTTTTAGAGGTTCACGAAGCGCAGAGTTTGTGCAGGTTGTGCCGAGTTGGGGCCCTCGTAAGCCTGGGAGCGCGCGTCTATGGTGTGGTTGCGCGCCCGGTGAGCTGTCGCGCGCGGGAGCAATGCGTGGGCTTCTCTGGGCCAGCGGGACCGGAACCCGGTGGCCAAGAGACATATACGTTTCGTGCACCTTGGAGGCCCCCCCTCTGGGTTCCCAAACGGGACACGATAGGTGCGCGTTTCTTCGTCCCAGCATGTATGGCCACCTCATTCAGCAATGCCCAGCAAGGCACGCGTTCTGCACGCGACCCCCAACCTTCGTCCGAACTCTGCAGTCCCAGCGCGGCACAGGCCGCCGTGCCCCCTCCTGGCTCCCGCAAGTGCCCCGCCCCAGCCTCCCTTTCCTCGGGGGAAAACCAACCTACCTCGCTTTTGACCACCCTCGCTTCCAAGAGATACCAAACAATGCCAAATTGCGGCCTGTACTGGTCAGGACGCTTGACGAGGAGGCGCGTGGTATGGCTTGGTTTTGCCTGGAAGCGAAAGCGGGGGAGGTAATTCACGCTCTGATTTCCTCTTGCAAGCTCACCAGACCTCACCATGGCTCTTGGCATCCCCGCTCCCGCCACGCCTCCGCATGGGGAAGGCAGCACGCAGAGCGTGCAGGCGTTGGGTGTCCGGGGGCGTGGTCTCGACGAGGGTCTGTGCTGGGCGTGGCAGTGCGTGGGGCCATGTTGGCAGTCCTTCGGGGGGCCGAGCGGAGGCCTTTGGAGGCCCCCGGTGGCATTTGGAGGTCCATGGTGCGCGCATTGCGTCAGGCGTGCCCGCCTTGAGTTGAGAGGCTCATTGGGAGCCTCTGGGCTTCACGGGGCACGAAGTGCGTGAGGGTGTGCCGAATTGAGGTTGCGGGCGGCCGTCTCGAGAGCCGGCTGAAGGCATTCGTGGGCCCAGGGGGCACGACGCGTGTGAGGGGTGTGCCGAATTGACGCTACTTCAGAGGTCTTCAGGGATTCCGCGGGGTGGGGCGGGCCCAGGTGGCTTTTCGGCCGCTTTTTATCTCGTCGTCGTCGTCGGCGTCAGTCGTCGTCGTTGCCGTCGTCGTCGTCCTCGATCGCTCGGACGGCCAGAGGGTCGGTCGTCGTCGTCGTCGTCGTCGTCGATCGTTCGGTCGTTTGGTCGGTCAGCTGGTCGTCGTCCGTTGTCGTCGTCGTCGTCGGTCGCTCGGTTGTCCGGCCGCTGGGTCGCTCGATCGTTCAGTCGGTCGGTCGTCGTCGCCGTCGTTGTCATTCGTGGGTTGTCGCCCTCGGTCGTGATCGAGTCGGTCGGTCGGCCGGCCAGTTGGTCGGTCGGTCGGTGGTCCGGGCGGATTGGACGGCTGCCGCACGAGTGGGCAGCCACAGCGAGCCGCGCCTTCACCACGACCTCCACTGCTTACAGTCATCGCTTACGCATTTCCTCGGTTCCTCTGGAGTTCGCGGGACAGCATCGGCGCCGCCGAACGCACGGCGTCTGGGAGAGCTGTTTGCAGCAATCTGGAGGAGAGATATTTACTCGTATTGAGTGGGGCCCACGCGCACGGCGAGTTGATGGTTGTGCGCGAAATAACGCAGGACTCATCGGATAACCGAGCCCACTCTTCCGTATTAACCTTAACACGGGCGGATTGCGGGTACGGGAACCACGGATCTGATTTCTTCAGTTCCCCGTATTTCTTTGATCACGACGCAGATGCTAAACGGGGCAATTCTCGGATCCGTGTGGGAAAATTGACAGACATCGGATCCACAAGTTCCGAAGTCGGACCCGCGCTGGCGGAAATCGGATCCACCGACACCTGCAGCAGAGCCAGAACCGGACGCGAGCAACCTGGAGTGGATCCGGCGACGGTTGTCACACACACACACCTTAGGCGATGCTTAAGAAAACTTGAGTTTTCGGCCAGAGTCTCGATTATTCTTAACGTTTCAATGTAAACCCTATGATTTTAATAGAAGTTCTGGGGTTTTATTCAAATTCTGAGACTATGAATTTCTTAACCCATGATTTCTTAAGCATTTCGCAGGGTGTACGCAATCGGCTCAAGACCTCAAATTGTTGTTCCAAGCCCAAGAGGAAAAAGCCATCGTCCTTCGGATGTAGACTGGCAAGCCTCGTCAAAGCTCGCACTCGCAAACGAGTCCACTGACTGCAGGCGTTGGCTCCGCGACGGCAGGCATCCCTCGGCAGGCGCCGCCATCGGTGCTCAAGTCGCCCGTATTTCCTTGACGGGATCTGCGACCTCTCCCTCCCGCCCGCTGCAAGGCAGGATTCGCTTCGGACGGCCACTCGTTGTCATGCTGTGCCCTGCCCCATCCAGGCCTCGAGGCCATCCTCCGTGTCAATCGTCCCTCCATCCCTCGTCCTCCTTCCTCGTCCTGCTCCCCCGCTTCCGCCCCTTCCGCCCTTTTCCCCCCCCTTTCCTGCTCCGCGGACCTTCCGCCCGGCAGGAGTGGATGTGGACTGCCTGCTCCAAGGCAGCCCGAGCTCGGGGGGGGACCTCGCCGAGGGGGGGGGCGGGGGCCTCGAGGCACCGGGGGCCGTGGGCCGCGCGCCTCGAAGAATGCATGCAACATCGCCGCCTTCGTGGATCCAGCGCCCACGCGCCATATCCCACGCACCATCCATGCGGGCGTGTACCCGGAGGACGGGGATTGAGGAGGAGGAGGAAGAAGGGAAAAAAGGAGGATGAGCAGGAGGTTGTTGGACGTATTTTGGGAAGCCTGGAAGATTTCGTGTAGCACTTTGGGCCCTTCGGGGGCCTTCCTCTTGCTTTTGGTATCAGTAACACGCGGTACGCGTTCTCTGTTTCCTGCACAACGGAGAAGGGGGGAGTGATGGAGGAGAAGCAAGGAGCAGGGGCACGAGAAGAAGTGGAACAGAGAAGTAATGAGGGAGAGGAGGGCGGAGCACGAGGGAGTTACAAGCGCAGGGGCAAATGAAGGACTAGCCCTGTTATGATGAACGGAGACAAGGAATATGATGGTATCGAGGAAGACTACAAGGAGAAATGGGCAACAAGGAAGGAAAAGCCCTGCTTTGATGGAGCGTAAACAAGGAATAGTCTGGTATCGAGGAGGACTACAAGGAGACAGGGAACGATACATAACAGCATTCAACCAATTACATAGGGGGACGCAAAGAGAGGTAACGAAGAGGCGTACAAGGAGAAAGAGGACGAGGACTAGCAGCAGTAACCTAATTACATCGGAGGACGGAAAGAAGGGGTGAAAGGCAGGCTGGGTCCGCTCCCGTCATATCTGACGGCATGCCCCTCCCTCCCATCTCTTCCCATTGCGTATGGCCCCTCTCTGTATTAGCACAGTAGTATGTTGCAGAGGACTACGAGGCCCAAAGAGGGCGCGATGCATAGCATGGCATAGCATGTCATAGTCAAGCATTGCATATCGTAGCGGTGCGGCGCAAGGCATGGCATTGCAGAGCGGTGCATTACATATCATTGCATGACATGCCATTGAGTGCTTGGCACAGCGTAGCCAAGGGTTGCATACCACAGCATTGCAGGGCAAGGCATGGATTCGCTTCACAGCGATACATCACAGAACATTGAATTGATACCATGGATGCATGAGCGGCGCAGCCGGAAAGCCATGCTGGAGGACCCACACATTATTCATGAGGCCAGTGTTGTAGCGGGATAGCCACTTGGAAGCACCGAAAAAGCAGAAGCGAGGTTGAAGCTGCAGCGGTAGCACCAATCGGAAGGGAAGGAAAGGAAACATGGAATTGAGACCAGCGTTGCAGCGGGAGCTCTGCTTGGAAGGACCGAACATGATGGGATTAGAAACGAGCTCACAAGAGAGACCAATCTGCCCACATCATGTGGGTGAAAAATACGCCGAGGGGGGGGGGGCGGATACTCTCAGCGCAGATTCAGGATAGAGAGAGGAGATAATGATTCATATATCTATATATATATATATATATGTAGGTAATATACTATATAGGGCCCCGTGCACGGTCACCTAACGTGGGGTCCTTACTTGGTCCTCTTCCCGGGGTTTTCCGAGCCCTTCTCGTGGTTCTCCTGGCCCTTAGTTTTAGGCCAGCCAGCCCTTGATGTTAGGCCTCCCGGCCCTGAACTTTAGGCCATCGGGCCCTTAATATTAGACAATCCAGTCCTGAATTTTAGGCCATCTGGCCCTTAATTGTGGGCCTCCCGGCCCTTAACTTTTGAGCAATATGCCTTGCATATGTCTCCCCTGACGTTCCGAGGCGACCCCTTCCTCCCCTGAGACACCCAGAGCTGGGGATTTAAGGTCCCCGAGCTGGGGGGGTCAGGTCCTGGAGAAGATCCCAGAGCTGGAGAGTTAAGGTACTGGAGTTGTGGAGTTAGGGTCCCAGAGCTGGGGAGTCAAGGTCCCGGAGCCCAGAGTTGGGGACTGAAGGTTCCGGAGCTGGGGACTCAAGGTCCCGGAGTTGAGGACTTAAGGTCCTGGAGTTGTGGGTATAAGCTCCTGGAGCTGAGGGGTTCAGGTCCCCGACCGCGGAGAGTTAAGGTCCTGGAGCTGGGGACTAAGGTCCCGGAGCTCGGGATTTAAGGTCCCAGAGAGTGGAGTTCTGAGGTCCTGGAGCTGGCACTTTAACGTCCCGGGGTGCGGGGAGTTCCAGAGGGCGTCTCCGCGGTTGCTGCTTAGATGGAAAACGCAGCATTTATCAACTAATAATTAACTGGCAGCGGCAAGTCGGCCCTTAAGTCGGCCCCAGAAGGCCCTTAAGTCGGCCCCAGCCGGCCCTTAAGTGGCCCCCAGCCAGGTCTTAAATGGCGCCCCGCCGGCTCTTAAGTCGGACCCGGCCCTTAAGTCGGCTCCAGCTGGCGTGGCACCCAGCTGTCTCTTAAGTGGCGCCCCGCCGGCCTTTAAGTCGGCCCCAGCTGGCCCTTCAGTCGGCCCCAGCCGGCCCTTAAGGCGGTCCCAGCTGGCCCTTAAGTGCCCCCCCCCCCAGCCGGCCCTTAAGTCGGCTCCAGCCGGTTCTTAAGTCGGCCCCAGCCGGTCCTTAAGTCGGCCCCAGCCGGCCTTTAAGTCGGCTCCCAGCCGGCCCTTCAGTCGGCCCCAGCCGGCCCTTCAGTCGGCCCCCAGCCGGCCCTTAAGTCGGCCCCAGCCGGCCCTTAAGTGGCCCCCCGCCGGCGGAGGTGCGTCGATTTGGATTCAGGCTCGCCCGAAATACGGGAGGGCCCGGGGGCCCAAGTGCTGGGGTGCCCGGGTGCCCAGTAGCCGTGTAGCCCTACAGCCCACAGCCCTATAGCCCTAATAGCCCTATAGCCCCATAGCTTTATAGCCCAATAGTCCTAATAGCCCTACAGCCCAATAGCCCTAAACATAGTAAACATATTATCCCGACAAAGCAACCTAACAGTGATGTGTATAAGCATATCTGGACGCATTCCCCTTAAGATTCAAGTGAGAATCCAGTTGTAGAATTCTGCTGTTCTCGCAGTCGCAGTCGCATTCGCAATGACAGTCGCAGTGGCAACGGCCTTAGGATCCAATCGAATCCTAAGGATTCCTAGGGATTCCTAAGGCATCCTTAGGCATCCTCAGGAATCCATAGGAATCCTTCGGAAACCTTAGGAATCCTTAGGAATCCTGATTCCTAGGGATTCCTGGGGATTCCTAAGGATTCCTAGGGAATCCTAAGGATTCCTGAGGATTCCTGAGGATGCTTAACTATGCCTACGGATTCCTAAGGATGCCTACGGATTCCTAAGGATTCCTAGGGATTCCTAAGAATTCCTATGGATTCCTACGGATGCCTCAGCCTGCCTCAGCCTCAGCCTGCCTCAGCATCAGCCTCAGCCTCAGCCTCAGCCTGCCTCGGCTTGCCTCGGCCTCAGCCTCAGCCTGCCTCGGCCTCAGCCTCAGCCTCAGCCTGCGTCAGCCTCAGCCTCAGCCTGCCTCAGCCTCAGCCTGCATCAGCCTCAGCCTGCTTCAGCCTCAGCCTCAGCCTCTCTCAGCCGCAGCTTGCCTCGGCCTCAGCCTCAGCCTCAGCCTGCCTCAGCTTCAGCCTCAGCCTGCCTCAGCCTCAGCATCAGCCTCAGCCTCAGCCTCAGCCTGCCTCGGCTTGCCTCGGTCTCAGCCTCAGCCTGCCTCGGCCTCAGCCTCAGCCTCAGCCTGCCTCAGCCTCAGCCTGCATCAGCCTCAGCCTCAGCCTGTCTCAGCCGCAGCTTGCCTCAGCCTCAGCCTCAGCCTCAGCCTCAGCCTGCATCAGCTTCAGCCTCAGCCTCAGCCTGCCTCGACTTGCCTCAGCCTCAGCCTCAGTCTGCCTCAGCGTCAGCCTCTCAGCCTCAGCCTGCATCAGCCTCAGCCTCAGCCTGCTTCAGCCTCAGCCTGCCTCAGCCTCAGTCTCAGCCTGCCTCAGCCTCAGCCTGCCTCAGCCTCAGCCTCAGCCTGCCTCGGCCTCAGCCTGCGTCAGCCTCAGCCTCAGCCTGCCCCTCAGCCTCAGCGTGCCTCAGCCTCAGCCTCAGCCTGCCTCGGCGTGCCTCAGCCTCAGCCTGCCTCGGCCTCAGCCTGCCTCGGCCTCAGCCTGCCTCAGCTCGGGCATTCAAAATATGGCGCAGGACTGGTGTTCTGGGAACACGAAGATCACGAAGTGGCCCACGGTTGGCTCTGGGCATTCAAAATATGGTACGGGAGTTGTTTCCTGGGAACACGAAGAACACGAAGTGGCCCACAGTTGGCTCCGGGCATTCAAAATGTGGCCTCGGAATGATGTTCTAGGAACACGAAGAAGACGAAGTGGCCTACAGTTGGCTCCGGGCATTCAAAATGTGGCCTGGGAATGGTGTTCTGGGAACACGAAGAACACGAAGTGGCTTACAGTTGGCTCCGGGCATTCAAAATGTGGCTTGAGAATGGTGTTCTGGGGAGTCCCCGGATCCTCCCCGGCACCCGCCCAGACCCCCTTGGGGAGTCTGTTCTGGGGAGTCCCCGGATTCTCCCCGGCATCCGCCCAGACTCCTCTGGGGAGTCAAGATGCTCTCTTTTTGAGCCCACTAGAAACCTATCAGTCTTCGCTGTTAGGTAATCATAATTGTGTTTTCCATTTTTTTATGTGTCTTGCAGCCCTAATAGCCCTCATAGCCTCATAGCCCTATAGCCCTATGGGGTTATAGCCCTATAGCCCTATAGTCCTATATCCCTATCGCCCTATAGCCTACTGCTCTATAGTCCTATAGGCCTATAACCCCATATCCCTGTAGCCCTATAGCCCTACAGCCCTAAAGCCCCATAGCCCCATAGCCCTGTTGCCTTATAGCCCCGTAGCCCCATAGCCCCATAGCCTTATTATAGCCCTACAGCCCTATAGCCCCATATTCCTCAACACATTAAGATATTATGTTTGTTTCTTGTCTCCGGTATCATTCGTCTTTAATCGTATTTCAAGAGACAGCATAATTGTTAGGACGACTTGCGAGCCGATAAAAACAGCTCGCGAAACTATCTAATTACCTTGGAGG